GAGAATTTTATGCTAGTCTTTGTAATATGTACTCCTTTAAATAATGTACTTTGTTTTGGGATGAAATAATGTTTATTGGAATAAACTTGATACCTTCAGGGCATGCTTTTAATTTTTTCTTAGGACAGATCCAGAGACAGTGATTAATCATTCCAATCTGTCTGGGCTAAGGAGCTCCTCCCTACATGAAACTTTCAGTTAAAAGCCAGACTGGGGGGATTTCTGGGAAGATGGACTTTCAGTTTGAAAACCAGGAGGGCTCCAAGCAAAGTTACACAGATTGTTCCTCCTAGATCCAGAGCATGCTGTAGTCCAGGGATAATTCGATTCCACTACCAAATTTTGAGGATCCTGTTCATTTTATAAAATCTTTATAGTCCAGTTGGTGAAAGTACGAATTACTCTCAATCCTTTGCATGCTTTGGAGATTGTTGAGTCTACTGTTCACTGACAGTTCTTTCCTTCACCTTGAGTAGCTTCTTTTCATATGTGCTCAGATTAGTACTCAAAGACTTGCAGATCCCCCTGGAGGTCTTTTTCTGTGCTGTTGCATCCTATTTACACTCTGTCCTGCAAATTCTAGCCACCTTGACCTCCCTGAACTCTAATATCTGGCTCCTTAGCTCAGTGAGATGGTTGAGCTCTCTTGGCATTTGCCCATGTTGCTCTTTGCCTGGATACTGCCTCCAGGCAGTAAGCTGGGGTAATCATAGTGATAATTTTGTTTGTTTCTTTCTTGCAGAAATCATAGTTCTGCAATGCCTTGTCCATGTCTGAAAACTATTACTTAATATATTTTGTCTGGTTTTCTAGTTGTTTAAGATGAGAATGTAAATACAGTCCTGTAATTTCACTGTAGACATAAGCAGACACAACCTTTATATTATCCTTCAATTTTCTAAAATTTATGTTATAGTTGAAAGGGTCGCTTATTCTCTGGTTATATCATTATTATGCATTCCATTTATTCTTACTGAGAAAATGAAATATTTGAAATTAATAATGGCAACTGATTTTATGAAGATGCTCTTCTGTGTTCTATTATTAGGTATTTAATGTGCAGTATCTTGACCCTTTCAAACCTTAAAAAACAGATGTTATTGATATTATCATCTCCATCTTAGAGATGTCAAAACTGAGAACTGAGCTTTAAAGCAGTTAGTAACTTCACGACATCCATCAGCTAGTATATCGAACAGCTTATATTTGAGTGTGTAGCATTTAAAAAGACATCACATTCAAAAGAGTTGGGGCCAAGATGTTTTTGACGTCAAATGATTAACTTATGCAGAAAACCTAAGTGACTTCGAAAGCAGGGTTTTAAAATACAGGTGAATAGCCAGTGTATTTCTCTGTGTGTGTGTGTGTGTGTGTGTGTGTGTGTGTGTGTGTGTGTAGAAAGAGAGAGAGAGTGAGAAAGAATGAATGTGTGTACAAATATGTATACTTATGTGCATACATGTTTGTGTTTGGTGAACTGGATAAAGGAACCCTACCTAACCACATCAGTCTTCTTTGAACCCTGGCACATTTGCGTGCAGTATTGAAATTCCATTCAATTCCCAAAAGTATGTTATTAGTTTCCTAGGAGTGTTGCAATAAATTAGTGCAAACTTGGCAGCTTAAAACAACAGAAATTTATTATCTCATAGTTTTGGAGGCCAGAAATATGAAATCAAGGTATTGCCCAATCTGTACACCCTTTGAAGATTTTAGGGGACAGATCCTTTCCTGCCTCTTCCAGCTTCTAGTGTCTTCTGGTGTTCCTTGGCTTTTGTCAGTGTAATTCCAATCTCTTCTCCATCACCCCTGTCTCTTTCTGTCTCCCCTTCTCTTTTATCAGGACTTACTGTCGCATTTAGGGCTTTCCCTAATCCAGGATGATATCATCGTTAGATCCTTAATTGCATCTGCAAATACCCTGTTTACAAAGACAGTCAAATTTGCAGGTGTCTGGAGTTAGGACGTGATGTATCTTTGGGGGAGACACACTTCAAACCACTGCAGTTTAATGAGAACTCAATAATGACAGCTCTTTAAGATTCTAGGAAGGTTATCATGAAAGAGAAGTGACTTGGACACTTCTGAGTTCATTTTCATGATGAAGTTTTTGAAAGTTAAACACAGGGGTGTCTTTGCTTTGCCACCCCAGTTCTCTTTGCTTGATCTACAGAAACTTACTAACCCTATAACTTAGGCCTTTACCCCCTCTAATTATTCATGAACCATGATTGGGAAGTGATTCTCCACATCCTGATCTGAACAAGATGAACTTGTAACTCCTAGATCCAAGCCTGGGGGTGCCTTCTTATCTACATGCCACCTCTCTTTCCATTGGGGCAGCAACACAGCCCCCAGGGCTTCCTCACCTTTGGTTAGAGATTTTACCATCCAAGAGTCTGGATCGCCCCCTTTCTTCATCTATTTGGGGTCCAGAAACTTGCTGTGTTGCAACTTTCTCCTAATTTCTTTTTCACTTTACACTCCAGCAGCAGCTTTTCCTGCTAATTCTTCTTTGTAACCTCGCCAATGAAGTATCTTAAACATGATGGGACTGAACTTTTAAGGTGTTAGACTTAATAACTAGGTCATTACCACTATTTACTAACCTGGACTCATTAACAGGGCTCTTTTTCATTTCACCTTGCCACAGCATAATGAGGTTATTAATTAGAGCAAGACATAAGCACTCTGGGTTTGTTTTAATGCCATCTGGGGAAATGGCTAGGCCTTTGGTCATAATTCCTGTTAAATGATTCCAAGGGGATGCATTTAAATCAATGCAAAATTACATTTCCCTTCAATGTAAACTTGTTTTTCTCTTTAAATAGTTTTTTTAGATTCCTAAATTCCCAGTTGTAATCCACCTAATGCCTTATTCAACTAAGCAGTTGGGGGGAGGCGAGGGGAGGGGGTCATGTGCAACAGTTTAAAGCACAGGCAGGAGCCAGACTGCCTGGGTTTCGATCCTACCTCTCTCCTTACTGTGTGATGGTGGACACATTCTTTAACCTCTCTCTGCCCCAGAGAGAGGCACATGGACAAGTGTGAGGATTAAATGAATTCACACAGAAAATGCTTAGGACAGCAGCTGGCAGGCAGTGGTTATTTCATACATGTGAGTTGCTACTTTTTTACTGATTAAATCCAAAGAAATAACTTTAGCATCTACTGTGTATAAGACACAGTAGGGTACTATGAACTTTTTTAGGATGGGGTTATAGGCTGAATTGCACCTTTCTATGCATTAAAGCCCTAACCCCCAGTACGTCAGAATGTGACTTTATTTGGAAGAAGGATCTTTATAGAGCTAAGCCAGTTAAAGTTGGGTCATTAGAGTGGGTCCTAATCCAGCATGAATGGTGTCTGTAGGGTAAGTGAAAAAGTATCAGGCTTTTCTGCCCTCCCGCCATCAGGATGGATGATGGATCCTTGTGGTCCTGAATGCATGCCTGATGGCGGGCACCTGGAGTAGAGTGTGGGCACGCGTAAGTGGATACACCTGTGCTGAGAGACTGGGCTTATAAGGGTGGTGTCACGGGGACGCCAGCAGAACAAACCATGAGAGAAGCAGAGAGAACGTGAGAGAACGCCAGAGAGCCCAGACAGAGTGAAGACTTGCTAGGGGCTGGGAGGCCTGCCAGCCTCCTGGCCCCCCAGAACCCCTGCCTGCCTTGTACCTGGCAAATCCCAATAAAAGCCTGAAAAGCCACTGAGGGCTCTCCTCCTTTGCTCCGTCTGCTCAGATCATAGAGATCTTGCCCTGTGGCCATCCTGCCGCTACAGTGTCCTTAGAAGAAGGGTAACTTTGGCTACAGAGACACACACACAGGATGGTATGAAGAGACAGAGAAGAGGCCATTTACAAGCCAAGGAGAGACAGTCCTTCTCATAACCTACCAACCCCTTGATTTTGGACTTCTAGCCACCAGCACTTGAGAAAACAGTATTTTGCTGTTTAAGCCACCTAGTGGTGGTGCTTTGTGATAGCAAACCTAGGAAATGACTACAGATGTTTATCACATGGAATCCATATCCCCAGTACGCATATAACCTGGTGGGAGGGGTGTATTCCATACGATTCTGATCACAAGCACATGAACTTCACTAAAGCTTGCGTAAACAAATAAGCAAACAGAGAGATGAACTTTAAGAATATAGAGGAGGCATAAAATCCAAAGGCAGGATCGTCATCGGCACACAAACATCAAGAGAACTTCCCTTCTCTTGCCTCTGCCTACCCCTTTGGTGATTATCTTCACCCTTTCCCTCCTCTTCCTGCTTCTCTCTTCTCTCTCTCCACCCTGTTTTCTGTGATCCCGCAATCCAGATGGGTGAAAACATGGTACCCAATTATACCCATGTTTGTGTATTAATGATATAGCCACCTAGAAAGAAATTGCGTGAATCACTCAGCAGTTCCAAATCCTCATGGAAAGACATCTTATTTCTCCACGCCGGCTCAGGTGCTAACCCCATCAACTGTGGGAAGCAATACCTCAGTGCACAAACATGGTGCTTCTACTGTAACCATATGGATGGAGTGAGGAGACGGCCCAGATAGCAGATAGCCCAAAGATTCCCTTAACAGAGATACAGGATTGCGTAACTACGATGTTGTACTACCACTTTGTGAAGCTGAAGAAATGTGGAGGAAATGCTATATTCCACAGCATTTTGCTTCATATAGTCAGGGAGCAAGAGTTGCTGCTTCTTCCTTCAAGGAGGCAGAAATCAGCAGTGGTTAAAAGCACAGGCCCTTAAATCAGAGATGTGTGTATTTCAATCCACCTTTGCCATTTATTAATTATGTGACTTTGGACATGTCACCATGCACCTCGGCTTCCTTGCCTTTCAAAAAGAGAAATATTACCAACTTCCTAAATTTCAGATGAGGTATAATTGTGTATCGGGCACATTTATAAGCACTCAGTAAATGTTAGTCCTTGTTAGTCTCATTGGTGTTTGGCTAATTCTTTTGGTTTTGCTTTCACCTTCAGGCTGAATTCTCTGAATTGAATCTGGCTGCCTATGTTACTGGGGGCTGCATGGTGGACATGCAAGTTGTGAGAAATGGGACGAAGGTTGTAAGGTAAGGAGGACTGAGATCCCAAAAGCTTCACTTGAGACGTGTATCAGACACTCACATGGTCAAACCCTCTCTCTACTGCTTTTGATCTAACTCCTGAACTGCATAGACTTGCGTGTACAGAATGTCTGCTTCCAGAGTTATCACTGGGAAGGGAAGGACTATGGCACAGATACTATGGGGAGGCAATCGTGGTTCATCCCAGCATGAACCCATGGAGAGAAAAGACTCGGGTTCTGTATCTGGCTTTGCGTGTCTGCTCAGAGCTGCTGTTTGGTCTCTCTCTTCCTCTGTCTGTCCTGGGCAGCATGGTGACAGAGCTCTGAAGTAGGAGGTATGTTTGTGCATGCACCCCACTTATTCTGAACTGCTGTATAAGTGGTTGTTAGGATGGACTGCATCCTGGCAATGTGTTTAGAGAATCCCTCTAGGAATCAAACCTAGAAGTACTGCATGTAATATTTTGCAAAAAAAAAAAAAATCTGTTTATAATTACTGTGGGCTGAGCTGGGAGGGAAATAAGGGGATTCATCAAATATCAGAAATGACAAGTACAAATTCACAGGAGAGAGAAAAAAGTGTATAAATACATCTCTTTCTAGTTAAGTACTCATAAATGGTGCAGACCAGGCTTTGTAAGCATTTGGTTGAGGGAAGATAGAATGCAGATTTGGGGTAACAGAAAACAGGAAACACTTTGAGGAAAAGGTAACATTTGTTTGGAGCCTGTCAAATTGTAGTATGTGGGCATTCTGTGTATTTTGAGCATAGGAGACAGGTTTTACAAATGCAAACAGGCATGTTTGGGAAATTATGATAATTGAATTAATCCAGTCAGCATTTTTAAAATGCCAGCCATGTGCCAAGAGAGAAATTGCATAACATCCTATTTCTAATAATGGGTTAGATTATTTGGACCAGATCTTCCACAGAAGACAATGTGAAAACTTGTTTTATATGATGATAACCTAAAAGTCATCAAAGAGTTAGCATAACAGTAAGACAGTATTACGAAAAGAATGGTGAGGAAATGGAAACACAAAGAGATAAATGAAACCAAAAGCAATCTTTTTCCTGAGAGTACTTGCTACGTCCATAAATTTTGAAAATTGGTTTTGATAGCCCAGTAAGGGAAAGGGAGACAGAAATTAACATCTCAGTTCACTCAGAGTGGGAAATATTCAGTAGATCCTCCCCACAATAAGCTGAGACCCCAATGGAAAACACCTGCACAAGTAGGTGAGCCGTCCTAAGTAATTGAAGTTGAATTGCTGTTCAATTAGCCTTCCAGGAACCTCACACATTAAACCTGGTAATCCCAGGCATGCCATAAATAAAATCAAATCCTAGGTAGAGGAAGATGCCTTCCTCTTAGGTTTAAAATAATTTTTCAAATAATTTCTGTACAATAGCTAGCACATAATCAAAGATAACCAGGCACCAACACCATGAGTGAGAAGAAAGAGGAATGATAGACAAGAGAAGGAGACCCTCAAAGACATCAGGTATTTGGGGCATCCCTGGTGGTGCAAAGGGTTAAGCACCCCCACTGTGAAGCTGTCTGCAGCTTCTGCAGCATGAGTTCGATCCCTGGCCAGCCAGGGAGCAACCCACATGGCGAGGCAGACCTCTCCTGTCCTGCCCGCCACTCCCCTTAGCAGTATATTTCAGTCAGTCTGCCTGTTCTGTTCCCCACTCTCTCTCTGGTGAATCCTCTCATCCCTCACACCTCTGGCCTGTACCCCAGCTCTTGTATGCATAAATAAATAAATCTTTAAAAAAAAAAGACATGACATATTTGAATTACCAGACACAATTTCTAAAAGAAGTAAGTCATACAGATTAAGAGATCTTCAAATCCTATTTGAAGATAACAGAAGGGAATAGGAAAATATAAAAAAAAAATTTAAAAAAATGAAAGCTACAATAACCAAAATTATTGGATGTTGTTTGACAGCAAATTAGATACTATTAAAAGGTATTAATGAAGTGAAAGGTAGAGTTGAAAAAATTATCCTATGGAGAAAAAGACTGGGAATGCAGAAGAGATGGTTAGATTTTGTGAGAAGGTCAAACATTCATTTAATCAGAGCCTCAAAAAAAAAAGAGGGGAAACAAAGAATGGAGAAGAGGCAGAATAGCTGAGGATTTTTCAGAAACATACCAAACTACCAAAACCAGAAGCTCAACAAATTTCAAGCAGAATAAATTTAAAAATTCTACACTAAGCCAGAATAGTGTAATTCTAGAAAGATGAAGAAAAATAAAAAGCAGCCAGAGGAGGGGAGATGGGTGGAAGGCAGATTACTTTGATTGGAGTAACAAACTCATGGTCCATCCACAGGCAGCAGTGATGGAATGGAAATAATTTCATTGTACCTAAAAGAAAATAATTTGCCAACTTATAAACTGCATCCTCAGGGGAACATCTTTTAGCAATGAAGGAAAAAAATAAAAACATTTACAAAAAAGACCCTCACTGACTGCAAAGGATTGTTTTAGGCAAAATGAAAATAAACCTAGAATAACAAAACTACAAGAAGCTATGAGAGGCAAAGGAGGTAATGTTAATAAGCATTGTCTTAAAAAGAAAGGGAGGGGGTGAAATAAAAAAATAAATTTGAGAACTGACAAAAAAGCAATAGAATAAAAATGGCTTAGTGGTTTAAAAAAATATATGAAGGATTAAAATACATGATAGTAAGGTAGCACAGGTTGAGGTTAATGGAATTCGGGTGTTCTGAGGCCCTTGGTTATTGTCAAGGAGAAAAGTAAATGTATTGACTAATAACAGGCTTTGAAAAGTTACAGATGCATGAAGTAGTTTCTAGACAATATTCAGTAAAAAAACAGAATATTCCACTTACAAACTATAAGAAAGATGTGTGGAGAGAGTAAAAAATCTCAGAACAAAAGAAGTAAAGCAAGAAAGGAGAGGCAAAAACCAGCATGACACATAGGTGTTACAGATAAAATAAGATGGCAGATTTAAATCCAAATACATAAACAGGCTAGTGTCTTTCTGAAGGGCTTGTCCAGCTACTCCTGGTTAGTAAGACCCTGAAATTTGTCTATATAAGTTGGTAAATGGCTCTTCCCTGACTGAAAGCCTTCAGTTACCTCATCCCATGAGAGGCATGAGGTCTGGACCGCTCTTTTGTGCCCCGGTTCACCAGCCCCTTCCCTCAATGTCCTTGTTCTTCCATGGTCAGAGAATGCCCAAACATCAAATGCCTGGTTCCCAGGCCCTCTCGTGGTGTCCTGTGAGAACTGCAACCTCCGCAAAGTCCCCTTATTTGCTCAGTATTTATAATGTCATGAATATATAGCTGTAATTATATTAAATATAAATGAGCTAAAAGTTCTAATTTATAAAGCATATACAACAACATTGTTAGAGTAGATTTTTAATAATCCAATTCTATTCTATTCTAAAGACTCATCTGAAACACATGTATATGGAATTAAGGTGTTCTGCGGGGTTATTGTCAAGGAGAAAAGTAAATTTGTTGATATATGTTGTGTAAACACTGGGCAAAGGGAAGTTTTCCAATGTATCTGTGTTAATGTCAAAGGGAAAGAATACTTTCAGATGAAAAGTACCCCATGGGGGCAGGAAATAAGTAATTTTGGTAAAGGATTCATTTATTAAGAAGAGAGCATTCTAAATTTTACGCAATGAATAAAAATGCCTCAAACTCTTTTTTCAAAAATTGGTAAAATTTCAAGGAGAAATAAACAAGTCCACCAATGTGAGCCTTTGAGAAAGGTGCTAGATACATGTATTCATGTTCTTCACCTGGCCCTCATTTGGCACAAAGGAACTGTGAATTATCAAAAATTCAGTGTTTAGGAATTTGTATATGTTCATATTTGGGATTGTTTGTGCTAATGTCCTGCCTCTCCGTGTGGGAAAGGAACTGGATGGTCTTCTTTTGTAATATGCAAAAAATGGGAACATTGATTTTCACATTTGGCTGCATGTGGCAAATGTGTTAGAATCCTGTTGCCCAGACAATAAAAAAAAAAAAAAAAATCAACCATGTTAGAATCTGGGGCAGGAGTTAGGTGTCACTAGCTCTAGTGCTGCCTGAGTGATTCCAATGGGCAACCTGAAGGAGAATCTCTCCAAATAGCTCTCACATTGACCCTGCACTGGGGCTTATGTGGGGTATGTTGTCAGGACAAGAATCACACTGCAAAAACAGACATTCCTAAGAAGATGTGCCATATCTTTCCTGAATTTACAAGTTTTTTGCAAAAATGTTCCAGGCGTGTCTTAAAAAGCTGATCTCCCAGCATCTCGGAATGACAGACTCTGAAGACATCATGTGCCCCCTTCCTACACATGTGCACACTCACACACAGACACTGAGAGATTTAAGTCCTGAACTAGAACCTCAGAATGTAATCTTAATTGGAAATAGGATTGTTGCAAATGTACCTAGTTAAGATGCTGTCATACCAGAGTAGGGTCGGCCCTTAATTCAATATGACTGATGTTCTTACGTGAAGAAGGAAATTTGGACACAGAGGCACAGGGGAAATACCATGTGATGACAGAGGCAAAAAATCGAAGTGATGCTGTAATTCAAGGAATGGCAAGGATTGCCATCAATCACCAGAAGCTAGGAGACAGGCATGAAACAAATTCTCCCTCAGCTCTTCGAAGATATCAATCCTGCTGACACCTTGGTCTCAGACTTCTAGCCTCTGGAAGTATGAATCAACGTCTGTTGTTTCAAGCCATCCAGTTTGTGCTACTTGGTATGGCAGCCCTAGAAAACCAATATAGTAGTGCTCCTCAAATTTTAATGTTCATACAAACCCCGCAAGAGATCTCATTAAAATGCAGATTCTCATCTATTAGGTCTTCAGAGAGGGCCTGGGATTCTGAATTTCTTATGAATTTCAGATAAAGCCCATGTGGCTGGTGTTGCAGACTTTAGTTTGAATTGTTAGAGGTGTGTACAAGCTCCCACATGCTGCTGTTGTTGCTGTGA